TTGGGCGGGCGGGGAGGAGGGGGTTGGGGAGCGCGGGGTGCAGGGGTCCCGGGGACTCCAGCGCCGTCCGGACCGAGGGCGAAGCGCGGGGCCCGGGGGAGGGGGCTGTGGCGCCCGGAAGGAGGTTTCCGGACGCCCCGCCCCGGCAGGTTCGGGTTGCCGGCGGCGTGGAGGGGTGGAGACCTCGGCGGCCTGGCTGTTTTCGCAACGTTGTCGCCCTGTCCGAGTCCAGCTGTCCTCACAAACCTACTCGGTGCCCGGGGCCGCTCACCTCTCCCGTCTGTGCCTCAGTTTGCTCATCTGCAAAGTGGGGACAGTAACAGAGCCTGTGTCGTAGTGTTGTGAAGATGCAGAGAGGTAATGGGGCTGCTGCGCTCAGCACAGTGGCTGCTCAGTCACGGAATCCTCATCTTCCTGAGACTCTTCCTCCTCCCTTTCTGCTCCCCTCCTGCTCCCCACTTCCAACACGCTCGCCCACAGCTGCTCAGTTTCTTGCCCAGCGGGTGTACTTTGCCGTTGCCCCCTCCCGACCTCTGATTCCTAGTTCCAGCATCAAACAGTTTGGAAGTACACAGAGGAAATGCAAAAGTGTTTTTGCGTATTTCCCTCCAGCGATTGTGTTTTGAGATAGACTACCCTATTCTCTTTTAGTAGTCTAGTAAATCTGTCTCGTTATCCAAAGACCTAGAATTGTAGTCCCAGACTCACCGGTTACCAGTTGTTTGACAGCAGAAATGTTACCCAGTCTCAGAGCCATTGTTGCCCAAGCCATATTAGTGGTTAGTACCCTGCTGCTGCGCCACCTGTGATAAGGAACAAATCACCCTCAGCAGTGTTTAAGGTACTTGTGTAAATTGCTAAATAGTGAGATATAAATATAAAGTGGAATTGCTATTAGTTTAGGTTATGAGCTGGTGCTGCTGATGGTAAATAGGGCTTTTTCCAAACAGTGAGTGCTGGTGTGCAAACTGGGGGGGTACTGGATTTCCAAAATTCCAGGCAGCTCCTCAAGAATGTTTTCTGATTGCTGAGAGGCCTCTGCTCCTTGAGAAAATCTTTGGCAGACTGTTTCTCCATCCTGCTGCTTACCTGAGCCCTTCCTTATACTCACCCACTCCCCCACCATTAGTTCTGCAACACCTAGCTCCTCATCTGAATCCTGCCTCAGTGGGGCTTTCTGCAACCCTTAAACCCCTTCCTCCACTGATTTGAACAAGAAGACACTTTCATCCTAAGAAGACACTTTATGGGTCATCTGGCTGAGTCCTGCCCAAATCATTTGGGGGTCTGCAGTAAGAATATTAATTATGGGCAACCACAGTTATCTTGCTGGGTAGTTTTCATATGTTATTTTTATTCTTTTTAACAGCCCTGTAAAGGGGATCTTGTTACCTCCTTTTACAGATAAGGAAAATGAGTTTAAGTAACTTACCTCACACAACACGAAGGGCATCCCTGTTTGTTGCATGACCTGGTTTCAAGCACATCTTGACAAAAATTAACCTGGTTCATTTTAATTACTTCTAATTATTAACTATTATACTGACCCACAATCTTTTAATATCTGTTCTCTAGCTTTGCAGGAAAAACAGAATAAAACAAAGCTTTCTTTCATTTGGAATTAGCAATTGAAGACAGAATTCCTGCCTCTAGTTTTGTTTTTGTTGTTTTTGTGTGTGTGTGCAAAAATTCTGCAGCGTTTAGAACACTGTTACATATTTGGAGTCTGCACTCTTCACCACATCATTCCTAAGAACGTGTTCCAGTTTGCCATAATCCTTCTAAGAGTCCAGTGCTTGGACCTGACTACAGTAATATAATCTGATAGGCTCAGATTAAAGAGGGCGCTAACTTCTTTTATTGTGTGAACTCTACTTCTCTGAATGTAAAGTAAGATTGTAATTCTTATTAAGAATTCAGATTGCTTTTAGGGGTGAGGGATCATACCCGTCAAGTCTTTATATCCTGTTGACATGTAAAACCCTAAAATGCTTTCAGCTTTCACAGGAACCGCATGCAGTCCTGGGGCTGGCTAGTTAGCTTAGTTGGTTAGAGCTTGGTGTTGGTAACACCAAGGTCAAAGGTTCAGATCCCTGCACCAGCCAGCCACCTAAAAAAAAAACAAAAAGAGGAACTGCAGTCCCAACTGTGATAAACTTGCTTTTCAGCTGTAGATGCCATAATTGATTTTGCGTCTATTATATATGATTTACTTTTTATTCTCTATCATTAGCTTTTGGCCCATTTTTAGCTATTGTGTGAACCACTTATTTGGCACTCATCACTTTGATCTTAGAGATCCATTGATTAAACAGATGTTTGTTTTATACCACTGTCTGATGCTGGTGCTATAAAGATGAATTAGACCCAAGTCCCTACCTACAATGAATTGGTCTAGTTCTGGGGGTGTGAGTTAATACCTGGGCAGAAGCTTGGTGAACTAAGGTGCCACTCAGTCTGGATAGCCTCAGAGATGCTAATTGTCCCCCTCAGTCTATGGAGCACTGATTTTTCAGTCTGTGTTGTACCTTGGCTCAAATCCAGCTTCAAGATGGGAAGAGTAGCATCTGAAAAATAGGATGTAAAAGATTTGCCTTGAGTGTAGAGCATAGTGGTTGATCAGCTCCACCCTCAAGAAATAAAAGCACTAGATAAAGATCCATGAGGGTTTCCATTTATCATCTTACAAGGGAGTCTGGAAGTGGTCCAGGGATCACAGTAACATTGTTTCTTTTCTGACATAATTATTTTTGTTATTCTTTTTTCTGTTTCCTAGTAGTGATTGGCAGCAAAACCACTAAAAAGAAAGAAACATGTGCTTTTCTTGGGACTAGCAAAAATGGGAGATGCTGGGGTGACTGTGCTCTTCAGCCAAGATCTAACAAGAGGGAACCTCAGAAGCTATAGTGGGTGTTGGAAGCTAAGAAGAGAGGAAAATGGTTTGCACCCCTAGGGTGTGCCCTAAAGAAAAGTGAGAGGCTGTCTTGTGCCTAAGCAATAGAAAAACCCGTGAGATGTTCTTGATCAGGAGACAAAAAACTGGCCGTGATAGTATAGCTGGAACAAGTGCAAACATTTATATGGGGAAGTTCAGAAGAGGGCAGCTTGACTGAGCCTTGGTTCAGAGAGGTTAAGAAATATTTCCAAGAGAAAGTGGCCCTCAATCTGAGTCCTGAAGGACAGGTTACCTAGGGGAAGAGAGGGTTTCTCAAGGAGAGACCACATGATGAACACAACAGAGAGGTGAGGTTGGGGAACTGCAATTAGGCTGATACCACTGGAATAGAGGACATTTGTTGGGACCAGGCAGGAGATATTTGTACATGTGGGCAGAGCAGGGGACTTTGCACCATGCTGAGGCATGAATGTGTGTGTACCTTATCTCCTCAGCTAGGTCCTTGGGGATAGGCACTCTGGTAGCTGATACACAGTAGTAGATGCTTGGTAATTGTTGGTAATTTTTAATCCATGGCACTAATGTACTAGACAGGCTCTTTTTGAAAAGGAAACCAAACTAACGCAAGTTTAATAAAGAGGTAGAGAGTATCATAAGCACAGACAATGATTTCAGAATTCCAGAGAGGCTGAACTAAGCCAGATAGATGGATGGTAGCATTAGCAGCAAAACCAAACTCTCCTCTCCACTTTCTCTGTTCATCTTCTCCGTTCTCTTTCCCTCTACTGGCTTTCTCTGCTTTTATTCATTATCTTTATTCCCTCATGGCTTTTCTTGTGTGGGGCCCATATGGCTCCTCCTGAATCTGTGATCTTTCATCTCCTGGATGAAATGCTGAGGGAGGAATCTGCTTGTACTGTATTTTTCAGCAAGGCCCTGAGGCATAGGTTATTGGCCAGACTAGACTGCCCTTTGGTCAGGTGCCCTTCCTAGTCATGTCTTGGCCAGGGTGGGGATGGGAAGGTTCATGGCACAGGCCATGGCCACCTGAGTATATCCTACAGCTAGGGCTGTGAAATGAGCAGAGCAGCTTGTCCATTCTCATGTTTATTGGATACTTTTTATACGTAGGTACTGTGGATTCATGGGCAAAAAAACAAACTACAAATACAAAATACAGCATGTTTCTGTATCTGCATAGGATAATATTTGATATATAATTGGAGCATTTCTATTACCTTTCTTGAGAATTGCTAATTCTACTTGACTATACATATATTCATTGGGGCCAGAAAGATGATTTCAAAGAACATTCATGATGAGTTAACTGTCCAGCCCTAGAATAAAAGGCATTCTCATTAGCTTTGTGAACTCACTTCTCTTTCTCTTTTTGTCTGGATCCAGTGAATTTTAGGTGTACCTGAAAACCTTAGGATAGTTTCACTGCTCCTGAAAGGGTAGTTCCTAAAAGACGTTTGACTCGGTGTTTATGAGGCAAAATCATATTCATTCCTTCTTTCAGTCATTTATTTTTCCTTTTCACTTAACATTTATTCAGCATCTTCTTGTCATGGGTGCTGGAGATACCAAGATAAAATAAGACACTGCTTTAAGGGAACCCTCCATCTAGTAGGAAAAACACATGGGAGGAATGGCACCTTAGGCTGAAGGGGTAGCATTTGCAAATGGCACCAATGTGGGAATATAGGTTGCTGTAGAAGGTGGGGAGGGAAGGAAGATGCTACTGGCAGGAGTCAAATTTTAGCAGATCTTACATTTCATTGTACTTAATCCTAGAGGGTGGGCATCAAAGGACAATGGACAGTTGAGAGTTTTAAGCTTGGAAGTTAAATGATTAGATTTGCATTTAGAAAGCTAATGCTGATGACAATGTGGAGGATAGATAGAGGGCGAGAGATTTGTGTCAGGGAGACAATTTAGAAATTTATTGTAGTGATTGAGATGGCAGGAGAAGAGGGCATGAACTAAAGCGGTAACAGCGGGGAAGGATAGGAGAGGTGATAAGAAGAAAAAGTGTCAATATAGATAGGTAAGTTTTTAACCTTCATTTGAAATGTTAAAGCATTTATTTAGTCCACAAACTCTTCTCATTATTGACTATTTTTGACAGAGAAAACAATCTGTTAAACTGTTTACCTTACAATCCCTTTAACTGCTTCGTTGTGTGGCTTGTTAGAAAACTGAAAGACAGTGCTGTCTGGAGTTCACAAGTTAACTGATGGGCATTTCATTTTTGTTTAGTCCTCCTAATTTGCCTTTCTGCATTCCTTTGCCCTTCTCTCATCTCAGGTGCATCTCACAGCTTGTATTTTGAGTGAGTTCAGGTCAATTACTTCGTAGTTCATAAGACCTGGTGGCTTTGGTAGGTAAGCAAGAATCAACTTAGTTATGGAATGACATTGTTTTGCCTTCCCATTCAGCTTGAAAGATGATGACAGTGGGGACCATGATCAGAATGAAGAAAACAGCACACAGAAAGATGGTGAGAAGGAAAAAATGGAACGAGACAAGAGTCAGAGTAGCAACAAGAGGAAGGTGAGTTTTATGCTGCACAGGTAGTTGCCTTCGGACTTGAGACTTGGTTATCTTATGGAATCTATTCATCTGAAAGATGCCAGATTAACTTGTTGGCACCCTGTTTTGGAATATCTGATCTTGTTCTCAGAAAAAGATTGTGGAATCACCAGAGTTCATTTTGGGACTTAGAACTTTTCTCTTGCCATAGGACCTTGAGATGCTTCCTTGCTTGTGGCATTCTCCTAGCGTGAGGTGGGGGAGATTAATTCTGGAGTTTAACAAAGCTGTTAGCTGCTTCATAAGCTGCTGCTGAGTATTTCAAATCCTATACATTCCTTGAAATTTTAGACTCTTTAGGCAGTAATAGTCTAAGTAGAAAATGACTTGGAAAAGAGAAAATTTAGAGAACGAGAGGTAGATGGATCAGGTTTTTTCCTTGAAATATTAAAGCAATCATTAATTCATTTATTCCACAGTATTATCTCCCCAAGTGCAATGCTAGGTGTTGAGAGGACACAAAGGTGAATGAGACTGTTGATGAAGGAGCTTACATTTGATAATAATAACAATTTAATAGCAACAATAACAGTAACTGACATTTATTGAGCACTTAGTCTGTGCCAGGCACTGTGCTAAGTACTTTATGTCTACAAATACATTTATCTTCTCAGCAACCCTGTGAGATGGTTATTATTATTTTCCCCATTTTGCAGGTAAGAAGCTGAAGTACAAGCAGATTAAGCAACTTGCCAGTGACACAAGAATGTCATAGAAGATTCAGTGCTTGGACTAGGCATATGATAAGATAAAAACATAAATACTTATGATACAAGGTAGAAAATTATAAAAGCCATCAAAACACAGATAAAGTGTTACAGGAATTTAAAATCAGTTAACCACTAAGGAAATTTACTGTGTAAGAAGAATCATGAGCACATTGCGTAATTGAGGTGGTATCCTTTTTTAATTGTGGAGGTGGTAAGGAGTGACACTGTAAAATGTTTTCTCAGTCTCAGAGCACATGACAAATGCCCAGGATTAATACACCTTCTTTACTTCCCAGGCTGTTGTCCCTGGACCGGCAGAGCATCCCCTGCAGTACAACTACACTTTCTGGTATTCCAGGAGAACCCCTGGCCGTCCCACCAGCTCACAGAGCTATGAACAGAATATCAAACAGATTGGCACCTTTGCCTCAGTGAGTACTTAGTGGTTTCATGGAGTGCGCCTTGGTAGTAACATTCGTGCCTGTATTTAATGAGTCCTTACTATGTGTCATGGGGGATACAAAATTCTATAACATCACTGTGTCCATCCTCGTGAAGTTTGACAGAGTGAAGTAAAGTACGAAAGTTCCTTTTGCATTTAAGAACCTCCCATTAGGTTTTTGGCTATGTTAGTGATTATGTATAAGGTAGCATCTTTTGCATGTGTTCAGAAAAAAAATGAAATCTCCAATAATTGTTTTTGTCGGTTCTGTCAGTACAGAGCCCAGGCTCTGTCTCATCCCACTCACAGCAGACGAGGTTTGTGTACCCCAAGAAGCTGCCTGCAACTAACACCAGTCTTGTTCAGAGAGATCATTATGCACCTCCTGTATGCTGTATGTTTGATCTCTAGGCAGAATGAAATTCAGGATTTGTTGTTTTCTTGAAATTATTGAGGTATTTGTCCTGTTTAAAATGCAGAAACTGGAAAATAATATTATCATAGATGGTAAACTAGTAAAGAGGAAGGACACAGTAATAGGCACTTTATTTGTGTAATTTCCTTCAATCATTATAGCTCTATGAGGTCAGTGATAATTTCCATATTTTACAAATGAGGAAAGTGAGACTTCAGTTAAGTATCTGATCTAAAGTATCAAGTCAGTCATAATTCACTTGATTAAGTCGGGTAGCCACTATTGAAACTTAGGTTGGGTAGACAGTGAAAGTCAGATTCCAAATTCCATGCAATATACCAAAATGCATGCCAAGAGGCTCCAATTTTTAAAATGTTGCTTACTAGGCAAACTGTATATTTTTAAGTTTACTGTTACTCAGATATGCATATTTAACTGGTAATCACATCATTTGTTTAATGTGAGATCCACAGTATTACTATGCTGAGTTGATACAATTTCAGCCCATAGCGAATATCTTGTTTAGTTGGCCTGTGCTGTCTTATCACTGATAAATGTAGGCTTTTTTGAAATATTACAGGTAAGTTGTGCACGTGCATATTTGGTCCAAGAAATGTTTGTTGAATGAATTCAAGGTCTCTAAAATGAATTAGGACACAGAGCTTGCCCTTAGGGAAATAAGGTGTGCCCAGGAACTTCTACATAAAGTAGAAGTAGACAGTGCTGCAATTTGAAAGGCACAGCTAGAGCACTCTTGGAGTCAGAGGAAAGAAGGAGTGATTCCAACTTGGAGGAAGCTGACTTGGAGGAGATGGGTTGAAGAATGGATTTAAAGAATTGGAACAGGTAATGAGAAAGGGATTCTTGGCAGCAGGAACATTGGAATTAAACATTTGAAATATCCATGCATTTCTAACATTCCTGGGTCCATCACAAAAGTTTCGATTGCCTGCTATATGGGAATGCTAAACATTACCGGTAAAATGGCAGCCATTATGTTATGAGCAACTGGTTAAACACCTGGAGGATCAGAGAAAAAACTGTACTGGAGAGTACATTTTTATTTTTACTATATTAAATTTCTCACAGGGAAATAATTACATCGTGAAACCTTTTATTAAATCCAAAGCAGTATTTCCCAGTGGTTCTCCACTTTTCTTTTTTCTGGGCAGCTGGTCAGTGTGGGGAGAGATTCTTAATCCTAATCTTTAACATTTAAAATTTCTTGAAATCAGGGTGACTGAGAAAGCAGTATCTTGAAATGGAAAGAACACTGGACTTGGACATCACAAGGCTGATCTCTTCTGGTCCTTGATTCTGTGGGCTGAAGCAAGTCCTGAAACCATTTTCTCAACTGTAAAATGAGGAAGATAGTTGAGATGATTTCTGAGGTCCTTTCTGTACCTCATCCTGAGTCTGTGAACATTTGTTTTTTGGTTTCAATTAGGATTTTCACGAAAAATCTTTCAAAGTTTAATAATATTTCTCAAGCTGCTTACTTCATCTCTTGTCGTTTAGATATAAGATTGTGCAGTTTGCTGTAAGATTGGAATAGACCAGACTGTTAAAGCAATGGGGAACTCTTGACTGGAGAATTGGAGATGGTTGATGTACTTTATTTCCACCACACCTCTCCAGTTCCTAATTCACAGTAAGCCACTGGCTATAGTAGGTGTGCTTTATTTCTTTCAACTGTGTTAGAGTGGATAAAGGTTTAGGTTATTACTCATTGTATACATATGACCACTTATTATCCCAAATCACTGTATGCAGTTAAGCTTAGCAATTGCGGAGATGAGACACTGCATTAAAGACCTATGAAGGGCATTAGTTCCTGACTTCTTTTTAACATGTAAGACATGTCATGTGTTTCTGTTCCAGAGAGGAACTGAATGTACAGCCATTTCACACAGTGTAAGGTCCATTTCTCCTCAGTTGCTACCCAAATCTGGAAGTATGACCTGAATCTCTGTCCACTCAATACCCATTTTCAGCTACACAGTTGTGGTATCTTTCTGTGTGTTGATCGAGAGCCAGCCTCCTCAGCAGTGTGTTGGCAAATACCAACTGTTTCTCTTCAGACTGCTTCATGTTTTCTCCTTCCTCCTTAAGTGTGCCTCTTCACTGACCAGTAGGTGTTCTCTGTGAATTACAGAGGAATAGAGAAATAATCTCTCCTGTCAAGACACTAATGAGAGATACACCATGATGAGTATAAATAAGCATACATTTAAGGGAAAAATACAAGTCTAGTTCTCTAATAGGATTGTGAAGGAGGGCCAGGAAAAACATAATGTTTCTAGCTCAGAAGAGGGACTTCAACCCTAGCTATGAGAGGCTAAGTCCTGTTTGATTTTGGACTGTCCTGGCTTTAGCAGTAGCATCATGGTATAGAGGAGTACATGTGGTTGATTCTGTCACTTAAGCACTTAACTAAACAGAACTAAAAACTTTCATTCTAGCTAATGCTATATTTGCCAAATAAACAATCTTTGGGGCCTGCCCATGGCTTACTTAGGAGAGCATGGTGCTGACAGCACCAAGTCAAGCATTAAGATCCCCTTACCGGTCATCTTTTAAAAAAAGTCTTTGATCAAGAAATGATTTGGTTCTAAAAAATGCATTGAGGCTGAGGCTGTGTGGCGGTTAACTTCATATACCTCAAGACTAAAGGATTTCTTTCCATTTTGCCAAAAACTAGTCTTTGTACTGCATGATATGATTTCCTATAGCTTCAATGGTAGAGTACATATTAATGTGGCTTCACCAACTAAAGCTCCTGGCTGAGGCTGGCATTTCTCACCCAGAGAGTTTATTCTTGTATTGCCAATGTTACTTTTTTTTTTTTTTTTTAATCAAACTCTATGAAATGCTTTTTCTCTAATAATATGCCTTCCTTTCCACAGAATGTCCCAAATGAAAATGTGTCCTAAAGAGGATAGCCTGTAGCAGAGTGTCTTCCATGCTTATGTTCTTAAGTAAATTTCAGATCTTCGGATACATTCAAAGAAAAGGAAAAGACACATCTTTTCTATTCTGGGGTCTTCTCTCTGCAGGTGGAGCAGTTCTGGAGGTTTTATAGCCACATGGTACGTCCCGGGGACCTGACAGGCCACAGTGACTTCCATCTCTTCAAAGAAGGAATTAAACCCATGTGGGAGGTGAGGACTGAGGGCCTCTGACTGCTTTTTTGAGCAAGTTTTGTTTTCTTTTGTTTTCTAGCCCTGCCAAGGTTAAAAGTATTTTTCAAATCTTCTCTCAAAACTGCATCACTATTGGCTATATCCTTAGAACCTGGACCTAGAGGAAGGCACTGATGCCATTGCTTGTCTGCGTGGGTTGGTGCTGGGTGGTTTTGAAGATTGTTTTATCACTAAAATTATATTATAACATTAAAGGGTTTTTTTTAAATTACACTTATTCCTGTATAACTCATTTTTGTGTGTGTATGTGTGATATTTTTACATAGTATACATATGATTAATGTGGATAAAAAAATAAGCTTAAAGGCAGTAGTAACTGGAGACCCAGAGCTGAGCTCTGTAATCTTTTTGCAGAGCTATTAGTTGGCTGTACAGTGGTGTATTGCATCTTCTATTCTGATCCCAGGGTGTTTTTCTAGAAGACAAATGTGTTTACATCTGCTCCAGGGCCCCCCCACCCAACCCCCTCATCTATGCAGCTCTCTATTGCTCACATGATCCTACACCTAATTTACCTTTCAAGCTTCATCTCCCATCATCTCTAAACCTTCCCTTCCATGTAGCTAGACCCTCCTGTTTGCATCTCCCTGGCTCACAATCAGGTTTTGTACATATGGTCCTCCCTGTGCCCACTGCACCCTTCTCCTGCTTTACCTGCCTGATTCCTATTCCCCTCAAGACCCCACTGAAATGTCTCCTCTTCTTGTTTCTGACTGTCTTGTTCTTCCTTGACATTCTATGAGTATCTCTGTTACAAGCAGCACTTGTCAGACTGCTTTTTTTTTTTTTTTTTTTTTTTTTTTTTTTTTTTTTTTTTTTT